CCTCCTGAGCCCATGGGGTCTCCTGATAGAACAGGGCCTGGCTGTGGGGTGGGTCCTTCCCTCCCATCTTAGCTCTCCCTCCCTCCCCAGACCAGGGTGTCCCATGTCCCTCATCACATCTCACCAAGGCAGAGCAGGGCTCTGAGGGTGGGGGTCATGGCTGCACACTCAGATGGAGATTAGGGTGCCCTCAGGACAGACACAAAGGGTGTGGCCATGCAGAGACTGGAGGCTTCCTGTCATGGGACTGTCACCTCGGCAGCACCACAGGAAGGGGGGCTGCCCTCTCTAGAAGCCTGGTTTTCATTTCCCCAGGGCTGGGCCTGGGGCAGGCTACAAGCTCTCTGCGGACATTTAAGACAGAAGTGGGGTCTCTCCTGATCCCTGGCTATTGTCTTCTGGTCTTAACTCCTTCCTGCCCAAGCAGCAACACAAAATAATTGAATGGTACAATGTTCCTTATCATGGAAATACCTCACTGACCAAGTAGAGTCAAACTCTGAGTTTGCAGAGCTTGGATCATCATAACACAGATTTCCAACGTGGTAACTTCCTATTGCTCCTCTGACAGATTACTACAAGCTTAGAGGCTTAAGATGACACAGATTTACTATCTAACAGTTCTGGAGGTTAGAGGTCCAAAATGCATCTCCTTGGGTTGTCACCACATTGTCATCAGGGCTGTATCCATTCTGGAGGCTCCAGGGAGAGTTCCTTCTTTCACTTTCTCCAGTGTCTACAGACTGTCTGCTTCCCTGACTTCCCACCCCTCCATTCTCAGAACCAGGAATCACCATCCCAACATCTGCTTGCATCTTTTCTTCTCTGACTCTCTCCCTCTTGCCTCCCTCTTCCATTTATAAGACTCCCTGTGATTACATCAGGCCCAGCTGGATAATCCAAGATGATTTTCTGGTCCCAGGGTCCTTAACTTAGTCACATCTACAAAGTCCCTTTTGCCAATGAAGGTACCATAGTCATAGATTCTGAGGATCAGGATGTGGACATCTTTGGGAGGTCATCATTCTGCTACCACGTGTCTTCACACAGTCCATTAGGCAAAACTTGTATAAACAACTTCTGTTTGATGACGGGGAACAGCTGAGCTTGCAGAGTTGGATGTTTGGTTGGTCAGTCCACATCCATTTCATGACGGGCAGCTCACATCACAGGGTAACCTGCCTGCTCTACCCAAGTGTTCAGTCTCTACTGAAGCCCCATAGCAGTCTAGAAGCTGCATCAATTGAGAACCACCTTTGCAGAAATGGCACAGTGTGACTTCAGAATCTTAAATGTCTCTATATCCAATTTATATAAGGCTTCCTGCCGAAGGCTCTGTGTAGGAACCTCATGTGCTTCAGATGCTGCAAACACCACTGTACCAAAGGGCTCAAGGTGTCTGCTGTCTGGACTCGTTGCCAAGACTTCTTTCATTCTGGGCCCTACTCAAAACCCAGCCTTGCAAGGTACTTAATAATTGGGTTGAGTAACACATCCAAGGAGGTATTTGCTATCTCCAAATCTGAAGAGGCTCATAGGCCTTTCAGTTTTCTCTTATGAGGAAGAGGTCAGGTGGAGTGACCTGTCTTCACTTTGAATGAACTACCTCAGCATGCCTCAGGCAACTGGACTCCAAGAAATTTTACTAAGACAGCAAAAACCTGAATTTGGAGGATGATTTATTCTGAAACACATAGTCTCACAGACTGTCTCCAGTATTTGCTACTTCTTGTTGAACAGGCCCACTCAGTGCATCGTGGATGTGAAGGGCCTCCCCCCTGTGCAATGGAGAGGTGATCACAGTCCCTGCACACCAGTGGACAGAGGGCTGCAGATTAGCACAGAATCTGAAGGGGGACAGACGGAGATGCACTGCTGACTCCAGGCCTTTACAAGTAGACATGTAACACACTTTCCCCAGATCAGCAGCTGCACACAAGTGCCAGGGAATGTGTGGATTTTCTCGGGTAGTGAAGCCTCAGGAGGAAATTGAGTCTTCTCAGCTGAAACTGAAATCTCCATGTTATTTAGAAGAATCTACTGCCATTTCCCAAAATCTGTCTGTTTAATACAAAGGTCAAATAGGAGAATGGAATAAGGAGAATGGAATAAAAGTCCTGATGGAGTTACTTTCTCCACAATGTGGAATTACTGTGGTTTCACTATTCGGTTAGGGGGAGGCTTTCCCAGTGTCTTCCACCATCGTATCTCTTACTCCACGAGTT